TTTTTATTTTATTTAATACTTTTTAATATGTCTTGTAATATTAAATTTTATACTTTTATTTCGATCATTAAATTTTGTACCTACAAAAATATCTTTATATATATATATATATATATATATATATATATATATAATATATATATAACAAATAAGCAGACAGACAGTCACTTGAGTCCGGCTACGGATGCAATAAGTTAAATTGATTTATGGCCCCCACTCATCCTCAGAAGCCCCAACGCATTTTCCTTACATGCATTTTTGTCTTTCTTTCATTCTAAACTGAAGAAGCCAGGAAGAGCAGACGCTCTCAGCGAAACGCGTTGTTTATAGATTTTCCACTTTCTTTCATCTCCTTCACAAACAGAAAACTTATAAACGTATATAATAACTATAGATAATATCTTATGGAAGAAATCTTTAAAACAAACAAACATTAATAATTGTGAATATACGGGTGTCTCTAAATCGATGATTTACAGGGACGAGTAAGCTGATACATTGTACCGGAGAAAGAGATTCTGGACAGTAGGTAGGTAAGGAAATTGACGGAAGACAAGCAGAATTATAACAATAAACATTCTTTCGCCCGTTGACGTTCATTTCCGCTTGTCATCTATGTTGGGCTGTGCAGTTTACACCAAACCAATATGGCTGTTGTACTTGTCAATTTCCGGTGACCAGACATTTCGCTTGATAAAGCAAGGATGACGTGGAGAGGAAGTGCCGGTGCTACGCAAACTGCTGTCACATCACTGTCAGACGAAACAATTACCTGACATTAGACGGCCATCTTTTTTTTAATTTATTTAACAGTTTTCAGTAAATTTTGTATGTTTTCCACTAATTTTATCAAATTTTGTTTGTTGTTGCATTTTTCTTTATCTCGAATTTTCTTGCTTTTAAATATTTTGCAATTGTTGCTTCATTCGAAATGTTTTTATCTTTAACATCAAATCATTCAGGGTTTTCATTTCCGTGATATTTTTTAACGAAAAAGTTACGCTCACGGCGCGAAACATAAAATAGATATATAAATCAGCTGATATCCTTGCAAAGATGTACCTTTATCAGTTGCCACGTATTGTATTTGATGGCTAAGATGTATATTATAAAAGGAGATATTTTGATTTTGGACTATAAATTATCAGATGGGAAAACGATATGTAATTTTTTATACATCGACAACAATTTTAGAGAAAATTCTGAAAAATAATATGATTTCATAAATTTCTATTATCACCATAATATCAAAACAAAATCCAGAATAATAGTAGAATTCTATTTAAGAGCAATTACAGCCCTCAATATTTACATAAAGATGAGAAATACAGTGAAAATACTATTAAACACCAGTAATACCCGAATTATTTTATATTTAATGCGAAACAAAAGGCTCGTAAAATATTTCAAAATAGAAGTGTGAACCTTTCTGGGAAACCCAACGAATCAAAATATATTGTTTTACCCACCAACTCTATCACAACTACAACTAGAAAGAATTTATCTAAACTTAACAAAATTCGTTACAACTACTTTTAAAACAATAAAAACATAATTAATCCAAAACAAAATAATTAGCTAAAACTTCAAGCACGAATTTACTCTATGACCTATATATAATTGCCACATGGAATACATAGGAGAAACTCCAAGGAATTTAAATAAAAGACTATCTGAACATAAAAGAGAGCTTTACAAAACAAGACACTCACTGCATTAGTTGCTCGCCGTAATGAATCTGTCTATAATTTCGATTTAAAAATGCTGCTTTAATTAAAAGGAGACAATTTAATCGGACGAAAATGTATAGAAAGTGCTTTAATCAGTAGATCATCCACGGTAAATTTACGTCAAGGTTCTTACAATATTTTACCTTTCCTGACATAGCTATTATCACAATGTGAGATATTTAATGATAAAAGCGATAACAAAAATAAAAGAAACTAAATGAAATTGGCGAGATTATGTACCAAAAAACATATATTTAAAAAAAATAATTTAAAATTCTCAACGTCTCCACTCCTTCGTGCGAATGTGTAATCACATCATCATAAACGTCACTTTAGCCTGTTGAAGTCCTACTGGTCGAAACGTGTCGCACCAAAACCATTTTTTTTTCAGTTATAGTTTTCCAGAATATTATCAGATCCAATGCAGATCACCAGAGTCAAGCTTATTTTTTTTATATTCACTATTGTCCATCAAATACAAGAGCAATAATCACTCAAGATAGAGGATTACTGAATGTGTGGTTGTTGTAAGAGTGTGCAAGGATGGCGTAACAGGTGCATATTATAATGATATTTAGGATAGATATCGCTTAAATTTGAAGAGTTTAAGTTTATAGTGATCGAGGAAGCGTTCTCTAGGAAGTCTGTTATGCAAAGTGACAATTCTGAAAAGAAGTTGTCTGGTTGGAACTTCCTCCTTCCCAATGAAATACGAACGGATTTGAGATGCATGTTGCCTGGGGACATCTAGATCGTCTGAACGTCTGCCGTGGAAATAGCGACAGAATAGCGAGACACGCATCTGTTATTACAAGGTATTAAACAAAACGTATTATTTGGATATTGAAAAAAAAAAGTGTGTGTTGACAAGATCATACCAGACACGTATATTGGAGAGCCGAGTTCGAATTCCAGTCGAATCTGTTACATTCACTTACGTTCTAATACCCTTGGGGAAGGTATGAATAATCTTCTTCTCCCCCACCT